AGAGTTATGGCCTAAGTTCCCATTCGCCCCCATCATAATTACATGACCTGCATGGGAGAGGGGACAGAGACAGACAGGGAGAGCAGTAGGCACCGTGAGAGCTGTCCATGCTATGGGAATTCGCCTCCCTTTGCCAAGCTGTCTGTCATTCTAAGAGATCGGTGATGTGTGATGCCACAGGGAAGCGAGGGCAGAGAGTACATTAAGCAGCAGAAAGGTTATATGGTGCCCCACTGCAGAAAGGTCTACTGGTGCTACATTTCCTGGTTGTTCAACTTCTGGGAAACTTCTTGGTAGAAGGTAGGAAGATAAGCAAGCTGTATCTTAATAGCAGCTCCGCATCAGAAGCTGTGAGGGACATCTCCCAAGACCCTTTCTGGAAGGGTCTTGCAAGGGTAGGGGAGTCTTGTGAATATCCTAGACTAAGATGGGCAGTGAGCACAGCTTTGCACACTGGTTCTGTGGAAATGGAAGAAACAGCCAACTCCATGGAGTTTGCCCCTTCTCCCAGGGGTCACCTATCAATGATAGTTCTAGAGACCAGGGATTCCACAGAGACCTCTCTCCTAAACTGTGAGGCCCCAGCACCCGGAACTGGCTGTTACACTGTGATAGCAAATCCCAGGTGTGAGCCAGTCTTCTAACTCTTCCTCACAGGGGTATAGGACAAGGTAGAGTGTCAGGAATCCTAACGGAGGAGGGTATGGGAGGTATGGAAACTGCATTTCTATTATTTACTCGTTAGCCCGGCCTAGCGAATCTGCCTTCTCAGTGGAGATGACCCAAGGCATTATGGAGGGCAAGTTGCTGACCCAGAGGAGTGCAGCCAGGTGCTACCACTAACGAAAACATAAACATGGGTAAATAAAATAGAATCCCAGTTCTGGTGACTGAATTACACTTTGGAATGGCCCCTCATCCCCTCCTCACCCCAGCCTCCCAACCTAAACACCACTGCTTTAGAACACCCCTGACATTTCACATTAGAATATGGTCTTAGCAGCAAGGGGCGGGGAAAGCCAGCGATCTCCAAGAGTCCCCATCTGCGGTCTAGCTGAGCCTCCTCTGGCTTTGGGACAGCAAATCTAAGTACATTTTGGACCTCAGGAACCTGGGGTAAGAGTCTTTCTCCATGAGGCTGTGTACTTTGCCCTGCGCTTGGTCAAAGCAAGTCAGGGATGGCTCTTGCATGTTCTTCCTCGTGGCCTCTCGAGTCTGGAAGTCTATGTTTACCTGGAGACACAAACAGACAGCATGGTCACCGGCTCTCGAGGGCCAAGGCGCCTGGCAGCTGGTCCTAATTATGTAATAATCAATGACAGCAGCTGATAGATATAAGGCTAGTCAGGCTTTTCAAACTGGTTTCATGGAGGTCATCCCTTCTGATTCTAGAAAGAATCTTATGAGTCCTGAAGACCAGATATTCCCCATCCCAATTTATAGATAATAGAGATACTAAAAAGCTGGTCTAAAGTAATATGGAAAGTCAGTAACAAAGCCAAGGCAAAACCCCAATTCACTTAACTCTTAATCCAGAGGCCTTTGCAATGTCAAAGGGTTAGACTAGAGACAAGTATTAATGCTGGTTCCCTAAAGTAAGCTTGCCCTTTTGTCCTTTCTTAACTACTATGAAAACAAATGCTCCAGGCAGAGAGATTGTGAATAGAATGCACATCTCTGTTCCAAGCAGCATTATAAGAAGCCTACAGCATCCGGGCCACAGGCCAAAGGCCTCCTGCAGCCCAAGTCAAAGCACAATCGAAGAGTTCTAGGTGTGTAATGCACCTAAACTCATTGACAGCAAATGCTTTTCTTCTATAAAACCCTCCCAAGTAAATTTACCTTTTATATATCAAAATAGCAGTACATTGAATTCATTTTCTTATTCTAAGTAATTATAAGAAGTTCTGGTAAAATAATATAAATGACTGTAATTAATAAGCATCAACAAATACTCAACAGGTGCTTTATCCCTAATACCTACAGTAGTCTTGAAAGGAAGGTGATATTAGGTACTTTTACATTCTGGAAAATGTGACTCAGAGAGGCTAGGTAACTTAACCAAGATCACACAGCTAGTAAGTGGTGGAGCTGAGATTGGAACAAGATTCCAAAGTGGATGCTCGTTCCATTAAGCCATGCTGCTTTCCACTAGGAAAACTCATATGGATTCAGGGGTGTTTCTCCTTGTAGAATCTCTAGAGAAACACAGTTCCTGCGGGCAATGTTTAACTGGCAGCCAGCTAAAGCACTCCTACTGGAGCTCCTTTACACAAGCCCTCGGCTCCACTTTTAAAAGGATCCCCCCCATGCATCAAGAGCCAGTGAGCTCAGTTCCAAAGAAAATCCCCATCATGCCTGGCTCAAACCCCCATGAGGAGGGAGGTGTGAGCCAGGAGCCATGGAGAGAGGTCTGACAAGAGCTTGCCACTGCCGACACACCTCCCTCGGAGCCTGCACGTCCACAAACTCCTCAAAAATCCTATGGGCCTTGGAGACCAGTTTTGCAGTTGACCTGGTCTTCTTGAACTCCTCACAGGCCAACCAGAATTCCAGGTTCTCCTCGCTGAACTCGGTCTTCAAGAAGGCAAGGAATGCAGCCACCCCATCTGTGGATGTGGAGGGAGGTGGAAAGGAAGAGAGATAGGAAGAAGCTTAGGCACAAGAACTGCAATAGAGAGAAAGAAAGGTAGTAATAATGTCAGAGTGGCCTTGACTAACCCCCACTGCTCCTCCAGAACCTCTTGAAGACTTTCTGATCTCAGATATGCAGACAGTCTCAGAGGCAACAGTGATATTAAGGAGAAATGCTTAGGAAACCACAGTAATAATGACTCTGGGAGGGCCCGGTCACTTCTGATCAGCCGTCAGTGGTCACTGCCTGACCCCTAATGCAGAGTCGGCTGCCCCCTGGGTCTACTGGTGAGCCTGTGTTTCTAATGAGGCCAAAGTAATGCGTGTAATCCATTCCTTACCCTAATACAAGCCTGAAAAAAAACACACAAAACAAACCCAATCTATTATAAAATGAACTAGAGGGAGATGTGAATTCCTCAGGGCAAATCCTTTGCTGCAACCAGAATCATATCTGAAGGTGAACACACACACTGAAATTCAGCTAGTAATGCCCTTCTAGTACATGCACAGGGTTCCCAGCCTCCTTTAGAAAACCTCTGAGGCCCTGTATTTTAATGGTTTACAACATAGTTCATTTATTTCAAAAGACCTTGCCTATCAAATTATGTGTTTTAATTAAGATTAATTACAGTTTTTGTTCTAAATGACTGAATGAATATACCCTTTCACTTTTATTCAAATGGAGCCTCCAATCGGAAGAAGAGGTGCAGGATTACCACATAGATTTGGAGAAGAAAATAGCATTCATTGATAGCCTATGCACTCAGTTAATGTTTATATTTTAAAACATTTTAATGAATTGTTTCAACCCTTACCACACTCTCCTTTAAATGAATAACAATGCTAGCTTTCTGCGAGCTATCCTGCAGCTGCCTGGCCCCTGGCAGCCCAAAGATCTTCCCTCAGGGGAAGGGTAGGCACCGCTTAGAATAAAGTCACTGCACTACTAAAAATGGCTCTCACTATAATGGTGTACTACTTCCTTTCTAAAATTCATTAGGAGGACAATATGTGAGCAGTTCTTAATTCTGGGTGATGGGATGCCCTGCTCGCGGATCTGAGGTTCACCAACACGCGCCAGCACAGTGCGCTGGATTATTTGATGGATTGGCGGCGCTACGCTGTTGATGTACTTGAATGTTTGCTTTTACTTTTCTGAAACATTTTTATTTCTTCTAATTAAAAAGTCACTATTTGTCTTTCAATATAGACTGGTGCTAGAACAATGGCCACAAAGCTAAGACTTTTCATTGCAAGAGATCCCCAACTTGAGAGAGAAAAGGGTTTTGATGGGACTCCCAAAGCTAAATTTGAAATCATAAATAAATCTAAATTTGGAGGTATGAGCTGAAAGTGTCTAACAAAGCTAGAGGTGGCCATGAACTCATCACGCGAGCCAAGACATTTAGGCACTTCTGTGAAACACATGGGGAGACTGGGCTTAAACTATGACCCCCACAGGCAAAAACGAGGACATTTCGTCACCTTATCTCTACGACATAGAAAACGGAGAAAGCAGAAGACTATGTAAGCTTGTTTTCCCATTAGAAAGGATGGAAATAAGCTTGTTCCTGTGCAGGGGAAGGAGGAGAAGAGTAACATAGTCTAGACCAGCAGTTCTCAACCTCTGGGTCGCGACCCCTTTGGCAGTCAAACGACCCTTTTCCCAGGGGTCGCCTAAGACCATCCTGCATATCAGATATTTACATTATGATTCATAACAGTAGCAACATTACAGTTATGAAGTAGCAACGAAAATCATTTTATGGTTGGGTCACAACATGAGGAACTGTATTGAAAGGGCCAGAAGGTTGAGAACCACTGGTCTAGACTCAAATAAGAGCTCGGCTCTGGATCCCACCCAACCTCATTCCTACATTGGATTTGAAACCCTGAGAAGAGGGAGTAGAAACCCCAGGTAAAATGAGAGTCAAAGTACCCTGAAACAGTGACATGGCAGCAGTTAGGCTGGGAGGTGGCCTGAGAATCATTCATTCAATTCAACAAAATTTTTCAAACTAATGTACAACTACATACTGTGCAAAGTCTTGGGATACCTCAGAAAACAAATTTTAAAATCTCTGCCCAGAGGAGCCTTTGTGATGCTCTCTTTGCCACCCGCATCTCCCTCAAGTTCTCACAGGGGAGGTCCAGAAGCATCCACAGGCTCCAAAGGACTCGAACTTGAGAGCTAGACCGCCTGCCAGGAGATGGCCGCCACTCCGAGGCCACAGGCAGAGGCTGAATGAAAACCTAGCTGGAGCTGTGGACGCCTCTGAGGAGACAGTGCCCGAGGCAGCCCAGGTGGCCTCTGAGTGGGGCCAGCCCACACGTGACAAGAGCCATGGACACTCAGGAGGACCTGCTGCCTTTCCACTGTAGTCGGGGAGTAGACAGGAGAGACTGGGGGGAGGACCCTAAAACACGATGCATTTATCTAACAGAGCAAATGCAAAGTGACTTAGAGGAGAAACTAGGAAGAGCCTGTTGGGAAAGCTCAAGTTTATTGTTTGCGTTAGATTTTGTTTTGCTTTTCATCTTTTTTTTTTTTTTTATGAGCAAGCCGAGTCTAGTTACAGAGAAAGAAAGAAAATTACCATTCTGCCCCCATCAACAGTATTTGGTGAAGAGGACCCAGCTAAGGAAACTGGCCTTGTGCTACCCGAGGTACAGATATTATCTCTTTTCATCTAAGCCTCAGCTTTGTTGGGTCTTTGTGTGAATTAAAGAGATAACACCTGCAACGCGCTCTCAGGGATGTTGCTTTACTTCTTCCCATCTTGTGGGTGAGGAAACTGATGCCTAGAGAATTGGCTTGTCCAGAGAGAAACTGCACTGAACAATGGAAATGAGAAGGGGTGGAAAGCCCCTGAGGCTGCGGGACCCCAGCCCCTTCCCCAGAGCAGATGGCCTCACAGGGCTTCTGAGTACAGACCTCTGGTCCCCCACCTGGCCCACCTTTCCTGCTTATGTCACCTAGCAACGGAATTCTATGGCCCAGAGCCAGCGGGGTTTCTTCTTCCCATCTGCATCCTGTCCTCCCCGCTACCACCTCCCATCACTTCTCAGCAAGGCTTTTCTCTGGTCTTCTCCCTGACCCCTCAGCATCTTTTCCTGTCCCATTTCTTTTCCTTCTGTCCTCTGTCCCTTCCACTGTTGTTGTTTTTTTCCATCGTTCCCTTTCTCTCCAGCAGGACCCGCCCCCCTTCTGCTTGCCCAGACACTGCAATTGATTTAAAATGCAGGATGCTGGTTTATCTCTGAAAGGCTCATGGACATCTACTGGCACCTCTCAGTGTGACCTGCATTGTGTTAGCTGTGCAAGGGCTCCATGCACTCGGCTCAGTTAGTTGAGCATCATCCCATGCACCAGGAGGTTGCCAGTTTGATTCCCAGTCCAGGGCACATGTGTGGGTTGAAGACTGGATCCCTGGTAGGGGACCTGCAGGAGGCAGCATATCAATGTTTCTCTCTCTCTCCCTCTCCTTTCCTCTCTCTCTAAAAAAATCAATAAGTAAAATTTTAAAAAAAAAAGAAATGCAGACCCTAACAGCACTGCTCCAGGGGGCTGTGGGGATGATCACATAATACATGTAAACAGCACGCAGAGCCTGACACCCAGATCATAAATGTTCCCTCCATGTTTGTGATCATTGTGCCTACACTTCAGTGCTTTAAGGCATCATCACACAGAACACAACATGCCTAATACTAAAAGATAATCCTGGTCATTTAAAGGTGTTGGGTGGTAAACAGTTCAAGAAACTGAGAGAGAAACATGAGGATCTGCCTTTTTTTTTCCATTTCTCACTTCCCTTTGGTTTTCTTTGTAGGGTCCTCTGAGAAGCCCAGGCTCTAAGAACATGACACAGTGTTTGAGGTTGGTGTGTAAGGCTTGTTTCCAGAATTCCTGGAACACTGAGCAGAATATTGGCATCCTCCGGAGCAGGCACAGGCTCTCCAAGAACACGTCCCGTGGCCGCACACGCTGCCTGCTGCCGGCCTACTCTCTCTGGTTCTCGGTGCGGGCTGCTTACATAAGAAGGGAAACTGGGTCACTGTGAATGAGCGTGCAGCTGGTGCAGCAGGGAGGTTGGCTTGGGTAACGGTTCAAGGTCCAGGAGCCCTGACTGAGCTGGCATCAGGGGGTGGGCTTAAGCCTAGCTCGGTTCCCAGGCCTGGAAAATTACAAGATCACAAGCAATTTTTACTTTATTTTTTTGGTTGAGTTCTCTGTTTACCAAAGTGCAGTCCCAAAGATCAGAGTCCTCTCGCATCCCTGATCAATTGGAAAAAATAAACCGGGAATGAGTTCCAAGGTCAGGTAGAGAATAGGAGAGGAAAACACATTTATTTATAAAAACCCAAGATACCTGTATTAATGGTGAAGTCAAAACCACTTTCATTCCGAACCAAGTTCTCTAATTTGAAATTTGTGATAAGAATAGCATCATACGTGTTTGTTTTTAAACAAATAGCTAGGGCTAAACAAGATTTAGGTAAGGGCACTATTTCAAGGGCAAACTATTTCCAGTTACTGCCATTTATTAGCAATGCTAATTATACTTCAGTCTTGTGAGTAACAAAATTTTCTTTAATGATCTCTACTTTGTTAGGGTATATATAGCAAGATGACATATTATAATAGTAATAGGACATGATGTTTGTTAGAACCTTTAGCCAGAAAGGACATGAGAGATTCTAAGACCAAGCCTTACGCTGGACACAAGGAGATGGCGAAGCTCTGAGGTCACATGGGCCCTTATTCCTAGGACGTAGTAGCAGAAGAGTAAGAACAGCCTGGTTCTTACAACTCCTATCCCAAAGTTCTTTCCTAGTTTCTCAACCAGAAGCTGAATCAAGTGACAAAATAACAAGCCAGAGCCTGTATCTCCAACTATTATGAGAAACAAGCCAGGAGTTTTCTATGCAAGGGGAGACAAATGTCCCTGATACATTGAAAGGTTAGCAC